TCTGTCTCGAAACGCTGTTTCCACGCCGAGCAGGAGACGTTCAAATCAGCAGGCGGCACCAGCCGCAGGCTCAGGCTGAAGCGTGTGCACCGAAACTGTTGTCGCTTGCGCAGCTCCTTCAATTTAGCCCATTCGGCGAGCAGACGCTGCAGCAGCAGACGCTGCGCCCTGGACTCGGCATAGTAGCGTTTTCGCAGCTGCTGCGTCAATAGCAATTGCCGCTGAACGTGCACCGCCAGCAGCGATGGCTCCTGCTCCTGCTGCTGCTGCTGCCTGCTGGCATCGATTAGGCGGGCAGCCACATTGCGAGCGATTTGCAACTCTTCGCGCAGCTTATTGCAAATCTGACTGTTCACATTGTATGTGTAGAGATCGTAGAGATCCTCCAGTTGCTGCGCCAGCCGATGCTCCTCCAGCAGCTGTGGATGCTCGCTGAAGCGCAACTGTTTCAGGCACAACTTCAGGCAACGACTCATGGGCAGTCCGTGGAAGGTCGCCAACGGCACAGGTGCCAGGAAGACGCCTTTAAACTGCCTCGAGCAATTGCTGTGGTAGAGCGTGGTATCGATGGTGAAACGACCCGATTCACAGTCTGACAGCTGCGCGATAAATCTGGCATTTAGTTTGGCGGACGTTTTACTATATCTGGCCTCCTCCTGAAACCGATTCAGCATGCGTATCTGCTGGGGCTTCAGCTGGGGTTCACATTCACTTAGCTGCAGTGGCAAATGCAGCCGATCACTGGGCGAATAGAACAAAGTGGAGTCATAATGATGGCGCTGTCGCTGCAGCTTTGCGGACACAACGGGTGGCTCAGCGAGTTCAATTTGTAAGAAGCTGGCCGCAGTGCATTGTGCAGGTGTGTCATCCTTTGGAAGTTCCTTTCCGCCAGCTGAGGCGTCCACAGAATCAACTGCTTCGGCATTGTGAAAAAACTGCAAACTGCGCGCTTCCAAATCCTCATCTGCTGTTTGTTGTGCGGCGCTCTTTTCACTTTGCCGCAGCAACTGTTGAACTTCCCTTTCAGACTTGCGATATGCACGTGTTGTTTGTGTTTTCATCTTTTTCTTGCTGCGCTTAGTTTTTATTGAATTTGCTTCTGGCTCCATTTTAACTTAGGTTTGACAATAAATGAAAATAACCGTTTGTTTGGATTTTTCACAGGGTGGCTTCGTTGCCTAGGTAGCCTAGTTG